TATCCAAGAGCAAGGTAGATCTTTCCATCTTTTAGGGTCTTCTTTGATTTTTTTCTTTAATGTTCTGTAATTTTCATTGTTAGATATTTCATCTTTTTCATTAAGTTGATTCCCAAGTATTTTTTTTTTACTTTTTTGAGACTATTGTAAATGTGCATGGGCTCTCTCTCTTCCAGTGAGGAAGTCCATGGAACAGAGTAGAGGAGAGTGTGGCTGCAGAGTCATTATTCAAGACCTCTGGAGACCAAGCAGAAAGTAGGTCTGACTTTATTGAGCAGTTACCATGTATATATATTTAGCCAGTAGCTAAGCAAACAGACAGCCACTGATACAATTTCTGACCAACTGTCCTTACAACAACAGATTGAGGAGCGGGCTGTGGAGCAATCACAGGGACTGCAACATATGGCCTTACACTCAGGGCTGTGCCTAGGGGGTAAACGGTTTGCCACTCACACTCCTAGCACAGGGGAGTGCTTTGCCACTCACATGCTCCTAACATATGTCATGTATGCAGTACTCTGTGCACTTGTCCCATATAAAGGGAGCAGTTTTCCTCATTTCCCTTTCAGAGGATTTGTCACTGCTATACAGAAATGCTTTTGATATATGGGTTTGATTTTATATTCTGCTATTTTGCTAAATTCATTTACTAGTTCTAGAAGTTTTCTGGTAAAATTTTTTTGTTTTTCTAGTTATAGAATCATTTCAACAGCAGATAGTGCTAATTTGAGTTCTTCTTTTCCTGTCTATATCTCTTTAATTTCTTTTGTCTGTCTAATTGCTTGGGCCAGTGTTTCAAGAACTATGTTTAATAGAAGTGGTGAAAGAGGGCATCCCTGTGTTGTTCCATTTTTTAGAGGGAATTCTTTTAATTTTTCTTTATTTACAATGATATTGGCTTAGGGTTTAGTTTAGATTGCCTTTATGATGTTGTGATATGTTCCTGTTATCCTAATTTTTCTGGTGTTTGGAACATGAAGGGTGCTGTATTTTGTCAAATACTTCTTCTGCATTTATTGAGATGATCATATGATTCTTTAAGTCTATTGATGTGATGAATTACACATTATTTTTTTATATATTGAACCAAACTTGCATCCCTGGGATGAATCCTACTTGATCATGGTGCACTATCTTTTTTTATATGTTTTTGTATTTGTTTTGCCAGAACTTTTTTGAGAATTTTTATATTATGTTTATTAGAGATATTAGCCTAAAGTTTTCTTTCTTTGAAGTCTGTTTGCTTGGTTTGGGGATCAGGGTGATACTGGCCTCACAGAATGAGTATGGAAGTGCTCCCTCTTTTTCTGTTTACTGAAATAAATTGAAGACTGCTGTTATTAGTTTTTATTTAAAGGCCTTGTAGAACTCAGGCCTGTGCTTTTCTTGGTTGGTAGGCTTTTGATGGTGTCTTCTATTTTATTGCTTGCTGTTGGTCTGTTTAAATTGTGTATATCATCTTGATTCAATTTTGGCAAACCCGGGATGGGGCTGTAACTCAATGGTTAAGTGTCCGCCTTACATGTGTGGGGCACTGGGTTCAATCCTCAGCACCACATAAAAAAATAAAATAAAATAAAGATATTGTGTCCAACTACAACTAAAATTTTTTTAAAAAAAATCCGAATATATCAATTTGGGAAAATCATATTACTTAAGAAATTTGTCAATGCCTTCAATATTTTCTATATTATTGAAGTACAAGTTTTCAAAATTATTTCTGATTATCTTCTATATTTCGTAGTTTTTGTTATATTACTTTCTTTTCATCACATATGCTAGTAATTTGAGTTTTCTCTCTTCTTCTCTTTGTTAGTGTAGTGTATCTATTTTTTCAAAGAACAGACTTTTTGTTTTATCAATTTTTTTCAATTGTTTCTTTTGTTTTCATTTCATTGATTTCAGCTCTGATTTTAATTATTTCCTGTCTTCTACTGCTTTTAGTGTTGATTTGTTCTTCTTTTCCTAGGGCTTTGAGGTGTAATGTTAGGTCATTTATTTGTTGACTTTTTCTTCTTTTAAGGAATGAACTCCATAGAATTAACTTTCATCTTAGTACTGTTTTCATAGTGTCCCAGAGATTTTGATATGTTTGTTGTGTCTATGTTCTCATTTACTTCTAAGAATTTTTTAATCTCCTCTTTAATGTCTTCTGTAACCCATTGTTCAGTAGCATATTGTTTAATCTCCAGGTGTTGGAGTAATTTTTATTTTTATTTTGTCATTTCTAATTTTATTCCATTGTGATCTGATAAAATGCAGGGTAGTATCTCTACTTTTTGTATTTGCTAAGAGTTGCTTTGTGGCATTTTATATGTTCTATTTTAGAGAAGGATTCATGTGCTGCTGAAAAGAAAATGTATGTGCTTGCTGAAGGATGAAATAGTTTATATATGTCAGTTAATTCAAAGTTTTTGATTGTAGTTTTGAGATCTGTAGTTTGTTTGTTCATCTTTTATTTGGAATATCCAGTGGTGAGAGAGGTGTGTTAAAATTACCCAAGATGATTGTGTTGTGGTCAATTTGACTCTTGAACTTGAGAAGAATTTGTTTGATGACCATAGATGCTCTATTGTTTGGGGCATATATATTTATAATTTTTATGTCTTGTCAGTGTATGGTTCCCTTGAGCAGTATGAAATGTCTTTATTTATCCTTTTTGATTGACTTCAGCTTGAAGTCTACTTTATTTGATGGGAGGATGGAAACCCTTGCTTTCTTCCACAGTCCATGTGAGTGACATGATTTTTCCAACCTTCACCTTCAGTCTATGTATTTCTTTTCCTATCAGATTAGTTTCCTGGAGGGAGCATATTATTGGGTCTTTTTAAAAAATCCAATCTACTGGCCTATGTCTTTTGATTGGTAAGTTAATGCCATTAACATTCAGGATTTTATTGAGACATGATTTGTATTCTAGCCATATTTGTTTATTTTTGTTATTTAACTTGACTTGTTTTCTTCTTTGATTAGTTTTTCTTTTAAGGTAATACCTCCCTCTGCTGATTGTCATTGTTGTTTCACATTCATATTTTCCCAAGGATGTTTTGTAGTGCCAATTTTCTAGCTGTAAATTCTTTTAACTTTTGTTTATTATGGAAAGTTTTATTTAATCATCAAATCTAAAGCTTAATTTTGCTGGATACAAGATTCTTGGTTGGCACTAATTTTCTTTCAGAGCTTGATAAATGTTGTTACAGGATCTTCTAGATTTCAGGGTCTGTGTTGAAAAATATGCCGTTATTCTAATTGATTCCCCCTATATATAATCTGATTCCTTTCTCTCATAGCTTTTACTATTCTCTTCTTATTCTGTATTTTGTGCCTTTTCATTATAATGTGCCTTGGTGTGGATCTGTTGTGATTTTGTACTTTTGGCATTCTATAGGCTTCTCAAATTTGGTTTTCCAATTAATTCTTAATGTTTGGAAAATTTTCTGGTGTTATTTCATTGAATATATTGCTCATTCCCTTGGTTTGGAACTCTATGACTTCCTCTATCCCAATAACTCTTAAATTTGGTCTTTCTATGTTACCCCATATTTCTCGAAT